AGCTGGGGTCGGAGACGGCAGCCGAGAAACGCGGCCGGGGGGTGGGAGAGGGGGAGGAAAAGACAGCCGGGCACCCAAAAGGCAGGCGCGGGGCCAGCCAGGGCGGCGGGGCAGCCGGCGCGGGCGCCCCGGCCTCCCTCGGGCCCCGGTCCGGTTTGCCAGCCGGGCCCTCCCCGCAGCGCCTCCCGCAGCGCCCAGCGAGAGCCCGACTCACCCCCCTGCTCCAGGACTTTCTTGGCGGGCAGGACGGTCGCCACCTCCTTGACCTCCTCCATGACGACATCCGCGTTGGCTCCCAGGATTTTCTTCAGCCTCTCCAGCTCCTTGGGCGCGTTCTTCTTCCTCTTCTCCGCCCGCATCTTCCTCTTCCATTTGCTCCTCAGGCTCTTCGCCATCTCCTGAGGGGAGGGAAGAGGGAAACAGTGAGGGCGAGGCGAGCGCAGGGCAGAGGAGCCGTTCGCGCATGCGCAGGCTGACACGCCGCGCCCCGCCGCACGGCGGCTCCTACCGTAACTCTCCGAGCCAGCGCGCCGCCACCGCCGCTCCCGTACCTTACCGTAACTCTCCCGCCGGGCCCCGCCGCCCTCCTACCTCACACTTGCGCCGCGGGCCAAGGCGGAGCAGCGAGCCCTGCGCCGCGCGCGTGGAGGGAAAAATAACCACGCATTTCGTCACGAGGAACAAAGCGAAGTTTTATTTCGCGTTACTGCCACGCATTTCTTTGTGAAACCCTAAGGCAGACGAGAGAAATCATCACACTTGCTCAAAACAATCCGCAGCCGAATTCAATAGCCTCAGTCAAGTTCCAGCAGGGAAAGCGGACGCTGTCCCCGCTTGCGGTAGGACACGGGACGTTCCCCAAGCACTGCGTCGCCTTCTGGCTAACCCCTCGCCGACAGGACAGGCGAGCGGCAACACCACTTCGACACCGAATATGAAGTAAGAAAGCCTTTCAAAATTGTTTTTACCCTGCCTGCCACTCCAGGATTTCAGCAGCTTGGAAAGCGGCGGCTGTGGCGGCGCCTCTCCCCCGTCAGCAGGCGCTTGCCTGTCCAGCAAGGGCTTACGGTGCTCGCTCCCAGTGCCCTGAAGGTCTCCAGTCCCAGCTGCAAGAACAGACTGAAGGTCTTCCCATTTTTAGCAACAACCAACCTTTTTAGACAAACAACCTTAATATACACAAGCAGATAAAATGCCGGAATCCATCTCCAAATGCTTTTTCAGAACACTGAAAGATAGGCAATAAATAATACTTAAATGAAGAACATTCCCTTTAATTGTTTTAATACCCTCCCAGCATACATAATAATCTGACAGCCCTGAACAAGAACAGAATATCTCTGTTAGAGACAGCATTCCATTTTACCAAACAAAAACTAGAAAAGATTTTAGCTTAGTAAAACATTGCACAATGATAAACTCAGGCTACCTTTATGCGGTACACACACTTATAATCCCAAAGGAAACACTTCCAGCAGCTACAGAATAGCAGAGAGAGGCTTACCCTAGAGCAATCAGAAGTTGGCAAACATTTTAATCGTGAATTATGTCAAGTGCAAATTAAGTGATTAAAAAAGTGACTGAAATGATGACAGCATGTTAACTACGTAAAACATATACTCTAGAGAAGAACTTTAGCTACATAAAAAGCCTTTTTTTTTCCTAAGGAGGGATCAATATTCATGGAATGAAAAAGTAATAAAGATTCAGTCTCTAGAAGACAGAACTACACAGTTTGTAGATCATCCAAACATTAAGTACTTAACTTTATATACGCTATAGTCAAACCACACTGCTTTTGACTATTTTTTATTAAATGCTTCCAGTAAACGCAGCAGGTGTAAGAACAGATTGATGATGTCCAAATAGAGATTGATTGCAGCCAGTATGTACTCTTCAGGGGACAATTTGTGCATCAGCAAGTGAGTGTCATAAATAATAAACCCACAAAACAGAAGAGCTCCGGCAGCAGCGAACACCAACTCTATTGTCTCACTGTAGAAAAACAGCTGGAGGCAAATGAAACATGAAAAAAAAAGGTAAATTTAATTTTCTTTTTAATATTAAAACATTTGCATAATGATATGCCACACTTAAAACACTGTCTTTTTACTGTTATGTACATACAAATACAATATTACGATGACATTTCAATGTCCTTCTTTCATATGGTCCCCAGTCACACAATCACTTTAACTGAGTAAAAGTGCCTCCACTTAAGGAAGCTCTGGTCTCCACAATATTAATGACAACAGAAAAATTAGAAAAACAAAATACAATTAAAACCCAAATCTCCTTCCCATTCTCTCAATCAAGTAGTGGATCTTGACTGACAAATTTTGTTCATCAACACAAGTACCACTTTTACATTAGCAAGAACAGCATCCAACAAAAATCTGAATTGGAAATGAATGGTTAAAAGATCACCAGCATGATCTACAACAGTAATGGATCTGGTTAGGAATTTTCTTTCATTAAGCTATATTGCACTGCCCAAAACATTTTTGTTATACCAGAAGTTAGTTAGATTCATATTAAAGAATATTTTTTAACCTTGAACACAAGGTACCTTACCCTCAAGAAACCAGAGAAGATTAAAATCCACAAACAAGCAAAGAGGCTGAAAAAAAAAAACCAAAACAAACCCTGTGAGCAATAATGTATTTTCTTTTAAATTTTACTTAAAATCTCTTCCCTTCCTATAAAACCTCCTCACAATACATTTGATAGGTAAGTGTCCATAATTCTTATATGCCAACCACTCATTGGTATCAGCAGTAAAACTCGGTTTTATAAAGCTGTGAGAAGTTATGTCCTAAATTTACTTTTTTAAAAATATTTGAAGCAGCTCCCTTCCGTCTCAGTGAAAAAGCCAGGTAAACTAGTTTCTAGTGCAATACTATGGTTTTAAGAATCATAACCACAGGAAAGAATTTCTTACCAAGAAAGCAGAACTGCATAAAATTAATAATTTAAGATAAATAACCCCCTCACCATTCCCTTGAAGCAGGTTCTGTTGACCTGTATTCATTATTATATCTGCAAAGCTTGCTTTAAAAACAGGAAAAACTACCTTAACAACAACAAATCATCAGTATGACAACATACCCTGCTCCAAATTTGCTGAAGTCTCTCTTTGACTGCAAGGTATATGCAGTCAGTCCAAGAAATACAGCAGTAGTAAGAATAAAGGCTTGTAAGACGATGGACACATCATAGAAACTCACTATAAACAGAAAAAGTAAACTGTCATTTAAAGAGCACTACCCTATGGATTTGCTAAGTTATCTTTTGAGGAAACAGAAGTTTAAACTTTCACAGACAGGAGAAAAAAATCTTAACTGTGAACAAATAAAAGTAAATTATGTGTGAACTTGTCTTTGTACTTCAAAATCATGACCATAGGATTCACAGACCCTTTCACTAGCTAAGTTTGACATTTGTAGTATGGCTGTAGCTTCTTAAATGGAGATAACAGATCTTCCCTACTCACAATAAAAAATAAATAAAAAAAAGAAAATACAAAAAGAAAATAAGAAGTATTTTAAGCCTAGATACGTGAGATCTTAAGGAAAAAGCTATATGAATTTTTCATAATACTGAAACAAGAAAAAAAAAAAAAATCACAACACAGTCCTTTGTAAAGGCTCATGACAGTTTTGATTACAGGGTAGGAGGGGAAAGATAAGAGAAATGAGTGGAACCTTTTTCTTCCCTCCTTCCTCCTTAAGCTTTCCTGTCCCCAAATGACTTTTTTTTTGCAGGAGATCATAAGCCACAATGAAGAGGTTTCATCTTATGCTGGAAGCTACAGTGCAAGGTGATGCCATGACTTCTCCGCACACTGCCCCATCTCAACCCTGATAACCAAGTACAGAACTCTCCAAACTCAAAGTAATTCCCTTGGAGGAAACAGACAGGGGAAGACAAGGTTATTTCACTTGCAGATCAGCTCTGCTGAGAGCTGCCTCATAGGAAAGAGCATTGCAAGCCATACTGAAGGAACAGATGGCACAACTCATTGCTCACTTCAGGTTTATACAGTTTCAGTTCTGCATCAAAATCCAGTTTTCTCCCTTGATTACCTGTTTTTTGCTAAACTCATATCACTGTCATTAAAATTTTCAAACAGGGGATTTATTATCACTTTAGTCACATCTAGGAATCTCAGATGGTAATTAGTACAACATATTGGATTCCTTTTCCAATTTCTTTAATACAGACAATAGGATGGCTACCATTTACCTGTAATGGCAACTGTCAGTGCTTCCAGCAGGGTCTACAAAAAGTAAAACCAAAAAATTACAAGGACAAAAAAACCACAAAACACACAGAGACCTCACATGCAATGAGCCCCATTCTGCTACATAATCCCAGCATGCATTACATTAGCTCTCTTGTTAAATTTTTGTATATGAAAACATGTTTAATTTTCAGCAAGAAAACGGTACTCATACTGTCTTACTGTGCTGAAAGTTGTTGTGTTACATAAAAATCATACAACATAAACTGAAAATGAATGAGAGACTGCCCCTATAGAAAAATGCCATTTAGGTTTTCTACTGAAAGCACACAGCATTCTTATCACACTTCTTATAAACTATTCAAGGCGCTATAAAATTTCTCAGAGCTGCTATTAGAAATGAACTGTTTTCAGCTTTTTGCATACTTTTCAATATTTGAAATACCTTCATCCAACACTCTTAATATCTCATTAGACAGCTAAGCATCTGCATCAATTTCCTTTTCCCACTTGTCCTTCTTTTGAAACAGCTACCTTAAAATCAAACATATTATTGATGTCTGGGCTGAAGGCTAGTATAGGCCCTAAGTTTTTCTAAAAGGTAACATCAAATTAAGTTTCATTACAATAAAAGATGAGAAAAGTATCTATGGCATGAACCAAGAGGTCAGAAATAACAGAATATTTAACCCATATTTTGTTTAAACCAATTTATCACAGAGATTTGAATCCTCCTATTCCTACACAATGTAATACTTAAACTGTCATACCACAAACTCCCACACCACATTTGGCCGAACTATTACATCACTCCTTGTTACAGCTGCACTTGTTGAAAGTTTTTAAACATTTTGCTCTCCTGCAAGAGTTCTGGAGTCAGGAAGCATATAACTGCATTACGATTTAAACAGTCTATTTACTTTCACAGCAAAGCTGTCTTCCCATTGTATCACAAATACAATTTAGGCAACTCCTAAAACATCAGATTCCAATGGTGCTACTGTGACTTCTTTTCAGAAGACTGATTTGCTACATAATCCAAAATATCCAAGAGCAACAGTTAGCCCAAATTTACAAATCTGCAACATCAGGCAGGAGACTGAGATTTGAGGACAGCCCTGATTGACCTGCCTGTGTTGGAAACATGCTCAGAAT